AGATACCTGAATTACTGTCTGTGCATTTCACATAGATTTTTGTGGCTATTTGTTTTCATTCTGAATTTCCTGTTCAATGTTGTGCTTTGGCATCTTAGTACATTGAACCCCAGGGTGCCTCCAGGCTATATCCTTAGCCCACTCTGCACAAGAAATTAAATGAAATGAAGAAAATGATTTCTCTCAGCCAGCTTGTGCTATCTTGGAAATGGGATTTCCACTGCCCTGCTGGTATGAGAGATGAAAACAAAAGGTTGACCAATATGAAAGCTAAGGCTTGAATATATTTTCAGTTCAAGTCTTTTCATGTTACAAAATGTTCTTTTAGAATTTTTTCTACCTATTGACTTATCAGAGTAAACAGCCCCTTAGTTAGTAATGCAGAACACATAGTCCTGTTTTGATAAGCTCATCCCCTGTGATTTATGTCATTCAGTTTAACAGTACTGCTAGTCAGACATTTCTGCACCAAAACTTGGGCAGCTCTTGCTAATTTATTGTATACAAAGACTGTTTGGAGCCTTTTGATCATCACGGTAGAAATGAAGTGCAAAGTACAGTGATTTTCAAGACTATATAAAATCTGTCCTGTCAGTATATAGAATAATATTATGCATTGCCAGAATATTCTGGAGATAAAAAATCACAAAGGTGGTGCTCTCAGTCTCATTTGGGAAAAGGAAGAGAATACATGGTTAGTATGCAGCATGCATTTCAATTTCAAATTTCTTAGCACCAGGTTATAAATCAGAGTGTCTTAACTATGAGATGAGTGTTGTGCAGTTCTCTGAACTCAAAATGAAATGATTGGTAATGTTATAGAACATCTACTTGTACCAGCTAAAACAATGGAAATTAAGCGTGTGGTTGTCATTAGATAACCCAATGTTATTTAAAGTGAGCATGAATTATCAGGGACAAAAGGACCATTGCTAATACAACCTATTACATCATACTGACTGAAATCATTTGAGATTTCACGGCTGATGGACGATGCTCCTGGGTCACTGCCACTGGGTCACTGCAAATTGTTGCCTTGGAGAGGTGATTAAATGAGGGGGTTTTAGTTTTCTAAGTTAATATGGGAGAAAAATTCTAAAAGGAAAACTTAGAGAAAGTCTTTAAAGCAAAGGAAATCTTCACATTGTTGTTGTAGGAACTAAAGACTCTTTAAGAAAGCATATTTACTGCATCCTATCCTAATACTGAACTAATACATAGTTCTATACAAACTGTGTGTTATTTCTTTGAGCTTCTAAGCGTTACTGAGCAAAAAAGAAATACAAATCCCTGTAGCTTAACTTTTTTGTTATGAACAACATTTTTTTCTTTCTCTGTCTGTGAAATTGGAAGCAATTATGAGCTGAAGATTAAATGGAATGAAACATAAAAGCAAAGGTGTCAATTTAAAAATAAAAATAAAAGTGGAAACATGGTGAGAGTGACAACAGCAACAATTATTTATCTAACAGATCTCATCTACCTTGCTGAGCTGAAATAGGGTTTTCAGAATCTTTCTGCTAAAAGACAAACTCCCACAATGTATGTTAATTTTAGCAGTCTCCCTTGAAAATCTAGACTTCAAAATCTGGGTCTGCTTGTGTCTTTTAATTTTCTTTGCTTAATATTTGATATTGTTATTCATTATCACACTAGAAGATTTACCTGCTGTTGTTCAGGTCCTTAACTCAAATAAGCTTTGTTTTTATTCATTTAAATAATTGTTCTGGAGTGGAACAAGGGATGAGGGGTTCAATATTCAGGCTGCCCTGCGGAGAGAGGACAACTCCAGCCATTGCTCACCGTGGCAGCTTGGGCACAAGTGAGAAGCGACCATCCATAGCTGCTGCAGCTGCAGTGGGTATAACCGGGGAAGGGGTGCCCGTCCCCCAACTGGGGGACAAACAGATACGCAGATACACAAACAGACAGTATATAGCAGATTGCTGTCCCTTTCTCCATCCTTCCCTCAATCCCCCCCCCCCCCCCCCCCCCTCCACCAGCCCAAGCTGCCAGCGGATGCCTCTTGCTAGCCCCCTGTCTCCATTTTGAAGTACAACTGTCCCTCCTGCCAGATCCCTCCCTTTCCATTTTATAAGAAACAATCGAATTCCAAGCACATTCCACTGTTCTATCATAACCAAACCCTGACCTAGCTTTAAGTTATGGTTAAGAGGAAGCTGCATACCAAATTTGGAGATCCTAGCTCTTACAGTTTAGGAAAAGTTCTGTAACAAATGGAATTCAAACAAATGGACAAAGACAGACACACATTTCTAAAATATATAGTAAGGTTCTGCTGCTATATTTACTCAGGCTGAGTAATGCCTTTTTCTATGAATATCCCCACTGAAATCAATGGACTGGATTTATATTGAATATTCATATTCATATTAAACAGGACAAAGTAAGGTGTTCCTCAACGTGTAAAAATCTCATAAGCAAGCCCAGTAAATTACTACTCAGTGTGACTGTGAAGGACAGAATGTGGACTTCTATGAGTAAAATAAGCCAAAAGCAGGATTCTTAGTAGATATTTGGGGATATGGTTAGTCCACCTTTTGTCTCTTGAAGTACACATGCATTTTCATTATACTGAATAATTCCTATTCTCTAAGCAAAATCAGGATCTATTCATGTTTATGTTACCAAAACTGCAAGGATTTAGAAATAATTTCATAAAAAAATAAATTCTAGCATATAATTTGAGATAGGCAAAAGGTGTCAAAGAAAGAATCCTTATCTTTAGAGTATTAGTACTAGCTGAAAAGTTTAAAATCATGGCAAGGACATCTTGGTTTAAGAATCTGAAGTTTCATTCTAACCCTCTAATTCTTGTTTCACAGCAGTTTTAATAAACAGTTTTCTTCTGAATACTGTGCTCTTCTATGCCTGCTGTGAGAGACAATAGACATTTGGGACTGAAATGAACACTAAGCTGCAGGTCAGCTTGTATATGCTGATTCTTAGGATTATAACAAGAACTCTTCCTGAATTTGAGATTGAAATGCCCACTGAGATCTCATAAAGAACTATTTAAAGCCCCCACAATAACTTTGCAACAAAAAGGTCAAATAAGAATTGCAAGCAGAGAAGCTGTTGGAGACCAGTGACAAGATTGAAAGTAAGGAAACTAAAACAAGCCAGAGACAACAAGCATGTTATCAACCTCCCATCCGATCTGAGAGATTTGATAACAGCTGTGAATGTCCTTTGCTTACTATGTAATTCTGTCCCTTAACATCTAGGGATGGTTTACTTATATAAGTATATGACCTTACTTTTATAAGTATATGGACAACTTCAAGGTTCAAGAAAGTGTTCTGTGAATGAAATAAAATTCACTATAGTCTCTCAGATATAAGCATTAGTAACTGCACAAAATGCCGTATGTTAAACAAGCTCAGTTCCCATAAACACCCCAAACACCTAGGTGTTTAGATGAGCTATTCAAGCCTTTATAGAACCTCAATGCATATGATGGGTCTCCCTTTTCACATATATCTGCCCTCCCTTATATGACCAACCCCTTTAGTGTACATTATTTTCTTAGGGTTTGGTGCAGTGAGGCCCACACTTCCCCTGCCTTCAATGCCTTTTCATCTGCATGCAGTCTGAGGCCAAGCTTCCCGTAGTACACTGTATCCACCAAAGATCCCAATATTTTCATTACACTGAAGTTGAGATGTAGCTGATAGAGTCCCAGAAAGGTTAGAACAGACAATGGAATCTCTTTAAGGTAACAGAATTGTTACCCTTAAATTGTGTTTGTTTAGATAGAAACAAGGAATTACTGTGAGGTAATAGTAGGTAACGCAAGAACCTGTGAATACAAAGACACAATGGCTCAAACTACATCTCAGAAGCATATAAAGCAGTGTGAGTACCTTACCCTGCTAATATCAAAGCTTGTTTTACTTGGAGACAAACTAAGAAATGTTCAAATTTGAAGAATCCCAGGAAGCACACACAGCAGAGGAAAGGGGTCTTTTTCTAAATCAAAGGCTGGTCCTGACAGCTCCCAAACTTCTGAACTAATATCACTGTACTCCAGATTCTGTGGTTGTATTTAAGTATCATAGACAGTTAATTCTGTTACAGTCTAGGCCACATAGTAGATTTGGATTTCTTTAATAGTTTCACTTTCCTTTAATAATGATTTTATCTAAAATAGACTAACAAATGTATCGGCGCATAAGCTTTCATGGGCAAAGACCCACTTCATCAGATACATGTAGTGGAAATTTCTACTACATGCATCTGACGAAGTGGGTCTTTGCCCACGAAAGCTTATGCTCCAATATATCTGTTAGTCTATAAGGTGCCACAGGACTCCTTGTTGCTTTTGCAGATCCAGACTAACACAGCTACCCCTCTGGTACTAGAATATATTGGTCTGGCTTTTAGTGCTTCCATTCTGAATCTTTGGTTGCAGATAACTCTATCATTCTAAGTTTATTTTAATAGACACAGTGACAAAACAATTGAGTTGGCCTATAAACTCAAAAGGTCATCAGACGATACTTTGATGTACATACATTACTCAGATTGTGCTATTATTTACTGAAATAAAAGTTCATATAAATTACTTTTAAGGTTTTTTTTTATGATATAGGCATTATTGATGGAGCTGGCTTTCTAACTGTCTGTTCTAAATGTGTGTTCAGTTCATTTTAAATTTCATATTGGGATTATATAAAAATGAATCAAAAAAAGGAAAAATTGACTCTTACTGTCAGTGTCTATATTCCAAAAAGCTTTTTAAAATCAATGGCTTCCAATGCAATGTCTACAACATCCAGTAGGCTATGCTCATGGACTGATTTTCCAGCTGACTTACACCCTAAAATAAACATAGATAAGATGCTATTGAGTTTCAAAACAATGGTACAAATTTGTCTACACAGCCTTTCAATGACTAATAATGTATTTATTCCAGAAAATTCTGTTCATATTTGTTGATGACACATATCTCTACCTCCATTTTCTAGAGATAGGCAGAAAGTTAACATACACTCACAATATATTATTAAGGACATTATTGTTGGTATCCAAAGAGAAATCTTTAGACTGGGCAGACAGGCAAATTCTTCCAAGTACGGATTTGAAGTTGTCCTTAGATCTGTCAAATCTCTGGTGGAGCCTCTCTCGGTCTCTTATATCTCCTAATATTTTGCAGGCTGGCTTTGGATGCCTGGGAATGGATCACTCAGGCCTGGAGAATAGAACACAACCCATGGCTCTTATAGCTTTTTCTTTAAGATCCTAATAATGCATTTGTGTAAAGTCTTTTTTAGGTTAAACTTCAAATTTCTGTAGTAACTTTGTTTCCCTCCATGACTGGGGAATCGATGGGTTTGTGGATTATCTCCTTGAGGTTTTAGCCTTCAACAATCAAAATCCAGTTGATGTAGTATCTTTGAGGTATCTTATTTACCTGCTTCTCTGAAAATACCTTTTGATAGGATTCCCATACACATTCCTTGCTCTCTTTGGAGATGATAGGCAGATAGTGGCCTCATATATTCATATCTAAAATGTCGTATTCAGCTGTAGAGGGGACCAAAGGGGCAAAAGATACACTGTAGGTATATCACACGAAGAAAGAGAGAGCAGCCACTCTCTGACCCACCGAAGTGGATTTGGAATGGGCAGCTAGGGGGATGGGAACAGACAGAGCTAAATCAACACCAAAGAGGAGAAGTAATCTGTTACTGGTAAAAATAAGTAGCAAATTGCTTCCTGCACTTCCAGAGCTACAATTGCCCCCTCACATCTGTCCCACTCTTAAGGCAGTGCAGCTGTGCACTGCCCCTTACCCTATATTTTTTGATGCCAGCATTGACTACCACATAGTTTGGGGGCATCAGATATACTTAAAATTTGGGGAACTATTAATTTTTGCTCGTCAAACAACTGAACCAAATTATTCCAGACGACACTGAGGCACTGGCTATTGGTCTCCAAATGAGTGTGGCCTGTCTGTGCATTTCAAAGGGCCAAAAATCTTTGAAAGCTGGGGCAGTTCCAGCCTGTCTCACTCAGTGAATCGAGACAGTCCAACAACATTACATCATCCTGCTGGGTTACACATAGCTATAAGCAGGACCCTGTCTCGCAGAATAGATCTGGTTGCATAGCAGCTTTACATTTCATACATAATTTGAAGAGAAGAACAAAGCTAACCCCAGATTGCACAGTGACTTAAGCCGTTCTCTAATAAAAGAGACAGCAACTCCATGGAGTGTTTTCGTTCGGTAATCAGTGTCAGTCAGTGATACGGATCAGTCAGTACTCTTGCACAGGCAATGCATTTAAAAACTAGGTAAAAGGTTTCAATAACAAAGAGTTTCACAGAGATGTATTATACTGTTCAGCACAGCACCAAGATTCCTTCACAGAAATCAGCATTTATCGTAAGATATGTGCAACCCATCTTTACAGCAGTTTCAGGGTATTGAATGTTTCTGAATCTGACACAGTAGAGGTAATTCTTGTCCCTGTTACATTTAAAGATTACTTTGCTTGAGTTAAGGCCTCAGCTGGACAGCCAACACAGGCTGCCCCAGGTATGGAGCTGGCTCCTGTATTAGGAAGGCAGCATAAGGGACCTGCTGAAGGTAGGAAGGTGGGCCAGGTGCTGGAGTGGTCTAGGGGATAGGGCATGATCATCTGCCCCACAGGGTGGTAGACTCAAGCTCCCCCTAACCTCCACTCCTGGCAGCCAACATCAGTTGCCCCAGGGATGGAAACTGGCTCCTGCATGAGGAAGTCAGGATAAGGTACACCCTGAAGGTAGGGAGGTGGAGTGGATTCTGGAGTAGCTTAGGGGATTCACCTAAAAAAAAAGGAATGTTTTTTCATTCTGAAAGCAAAAGACCCAGATGAGGACAAACCTAAGCTGATGAAGTTATTACAATTTATCTCCTGTTAATTTTGAATGTATTGCAACTGTGAGTGAACAAAGGAGAAATCTTACTCTTCTTAATGATGATTCTAAACCCCTGTTGCCACAAGACTGCATAGAGCAGGTGTGCCCTCTAGAGAATGCTCCTTCATTAAGTCATGTTTTTTCAAGGAAATATAATCCAATTTACTGTAATTTATATTATGCATTCTAGTTATTAGTTTAATAGCAAAATATGAAGGATAATTGATTAAATAAGACTAAGTCATATGAAATGTCTCTGGGACCAGACAAGGCATATACCAGAAGTCATTGCTGTCTGCCCTGAGTATAGCAACAACTGGTGCCTATCAGTTCCAAGCTGGTGGACTGGAAATACAGAAACATCATTAGAGCTTTCACATGTAGAAATCTGCAAGGCTCTGTCTTCCCTATTATTATATTCAACCTTAATGTGAAACTGCTGTGGGAGATTGTGAAATGCAAGCAATGCATGATGGCACTCAGCTCTACATTTCCTTCTCATCCAGTAATACAACATCATTTCAGCTGTCTGAGAGCCTTAGAGAGCTATTGCAGGGACAAGGAACAGTTCGTAGAGAGGGTAAGAACAAAAGGTGCCGTTGTCAAGCAAAAGAAAACATTTTGGAGTATTAACCAATACTACTGTGTCAACCTTGATTGAAGGACAGACCTTCCCCCCCCCCCCCCCCCATTTTTAGTTCAGGTCCTTCCAAACTCTTCACTATACCCAAATGGCAAAAGCTGTCAAAAATCCTTCTTCTGTTTAAAGCTAGCCAAAAGACTTACCTCATCTTGTGAGAGTCTGGCCTGGCCACAGATACTAACACTTCTCTGGTCTTCAGGCTTAATGTATGTCTTAAAATGAATGGGGTTTGTCCCTGAAGAGGTTTCAATCACTATACAGGACTGTGGAGTTCCTAGAAAGCAACACCTGTTCACATAAACAAATCAGCAGAGTGCTCTAGATCAGTGTTTCCCAAATGGTGTTCTGCAGAACCCTGGGATTCCCCGAAGTGAAAATAAGGGTTTTGCGAGAAAATTCCATTACAATAACATTTTATTATTTAAAAAATAATAATATTTAAGCATTTATGAATTTTATTGAAAACAATTTTCATTTGTGTTTGCCACAATAAGTGTCCCTGTGTAATGTCAGCGTAGCCAAAGAGTGGGGACAATGATGTCACTACTCAGTGCTGCACATTCAGTCAGTCAATGGTCTGATAGCCTGGTAGTTAAGAATATTTCTCCCTCTTTTAAAAATGTGTTGGGCAAAGCAGTACTGATTATTAATTATATAAAAACTTGACCATTACAATCAAGACTTGCCAGATATGCAAATCCAATTTTTCAGTATTAAACCAAATGTAAAAAGAATTTGCCAAGAAAAGAAGAAAAACCACTCTTTGCATTGAAAACTGCCGATATAATGCATATTAGCTCTTGAGCTTTATTTTTTGTACACATTAAATGTGATTTTTGTTTTTAAATATGTGCAATTAAACTAAATGTTGATCTCATTACCTTATTTAGCATTTGTTTATTATTATCCTTACTTATTTGTGGTCTACTTTTTCAGCTCCATATATAAGACAGTTATTAGGGGTGCTGCAAAGTTTTAAAGGGTTCCGTGGCCAAATAAAATGGGAAACACTGCTTTAGACTGGATTCCCAATGAAAATCAGATTCTTTTGAGTGATTGCACATGTCTATTCCACTGCAGGTGAGTACATGTCCAGTGGATGGTTGTCAGAGATCTTTTTCTCTCAGAGGAACCATAAGTGTGGCTTGAGTGCCATCTACTTTCCTGTCCCATCATGTGAAGGCTTAAAAAGAGGAGACTGCCTCTGAAGCACCCCCCTCTTTCCTTGCACCACCTCCAGTTCTTTCTTACCATTTGGAACTGTTTATAGCCTTGTTACTTCAAGGTCTTTTCTCTGCCCTTGTAAAATGTACCCAGTTCTACTTAGAATGGTTTTAGAGGCAGTCTTTTAGTCTATAGTTAAGGGAATAGTAGTTATAAGTCAGTTTTTAGCTCTCAGATGGATTCAGCTTGTGGTACTGGAAACAGTATTGGCCCCCCTTTTTTCCTTCCCAGCACAGCAAAAAGGGCAGAGAGAATGTCTATGTCTCCTCTAAGGGAGGAGACATCTATATACTAGGGATGTCAAATCCCATTTAAAGTGTTAACCAGTTAAACTGGTTAACTGGTTAACCAGGACCCTGAAGAGCATTGCAGTGGCCCCAGCTAAGCTGGAGCAGCAATACAATGGGTAGAAGGCTGCTGCAGCCAGAATGGGCAGGGCCCATCGCCCACAGGCTGCTTAAGCCCCCCAGCCAGGCTGGAGCATCCCCTCCCCCACCCAGATCCAGCAGATCATCCAAGATGTCAGACAAGACAGCTGAGAGTCATCATAATCTAAAGGATTCCAGAGAAATGCTAAATTGCTTGAGAATCTGTATACACCACTGACAAAAAGGAAAAGGTTCCAATCATACCAGACCTACTGATACCTGGTTTTATGCCTTGATTCCAAGCTCTGTTGAGAAAAGGGGCAAAAATTACAGGAAGTGTCCACCACTTCCCTCCTGTTCTGTAAATGCAGATTTTTCCCATCCAGTGACTGCATCCAACCAAGAATTTTGATGCATAAATCAAATCCAATCTACCAATCCCCAGATTACTATTTACTCCTAACTTCTACCAGGGCTCATAGGAGCATACACCTATGTAGTGTAGCATGACACACTGCACCTCAAAAGGCTACAAGTCCCTAGTTTAGCTGTAATCCTCATGTTGTTATCACCTAGTCATGGTGATTTGTGTAGCAATGTTAGTCTTTTCCTCCCTTGACTAGTGAACAGACCCTCTGAATGTTTTGTAGGGTTTCTGTTCACTCTCCAAAATCCAAAGCTATTTTTTTTCACAGATATATCCTCCCTCCCTTGGTTGGGGTGCACACATGAGTCATTTCAGACTCAGAGTCTTTGATATTTGCGAGAGACCTGGAGAGCTAGCCGTCTTGTGTCTTTGAGCTTCTTTCCACATAGTGAGTGAAAAAAAAATCTGCTAGTGTTAACAGTGAACACAGAATCTAGGTTTTATGTAAACAATCAAGAAGGAGTATGTTCTACACAGTTGTGCCAGGAGATGATTCTCCTGTGGGAGTTCTGCACAATCAACTCCACTCACCTCAAAGCTGCTTATCTTCCAGGGCAAAAAATATGTGGCAGATCAGATGAGCAGGACCAATCATTATGAATGGCTGCTACATCTGGATATGGCCAGGTTCATCTTCTGACAATGGGGAATTCCTCAAGTTTTCAACAAGGATGAAAAGAAAGTTGCAGCCCAGGTTCACTGACAAATTCATTCTTGCTGTCCTGGAAGATCATCCTACTCTAAGCTTTCTTTCTGATTCTATTACTCTCCAGAGTCTTAACCAAGATCAATCAAGACCATGTTCACTTCATACTTAACAGCATCAGCATGGCCTCAGCAGGACTGGATCTCAACCCTGTCAGTCAGACCTTCATTGTCTCTCTCACTGGATCCTGAGGTAAATTCCCTACATGGCTGCTTCCTCCACACCAGCCTGTACTCCAATTGACATCATGGATGTCACTAACACCATTAAAAGACTCACTCTAAGGAACATAAAAATTTAAGAATATAAGAACGGCCATCCTGAGTAAGTGGTGCCCCAAAGGGAATGAAGATAACCGGTAATAAACAAGTGATCTATCCCATTACCCATTCCCAGGTTCTGGCAAAACTGAGGCTAGGGACAGCATCCCTGCCCATCCTGTCAAATAGGACAAGCATGAAATATTTCTAAATAGTAGAGAGCTTCAACTCAACATATCTACCTGGGTAAATAAAAGCCTTTTTCTACCTTGTCTAATAATAAGAAAAACCATAAAGGAGTTTGAAGAACAGCTAGCCAAAAACTCAAAAAGTAATAGCAAAATGTTTTTTTAAGTACATCAGAAGCAGGAAGCCTGCTAAGCATCCAGCGGGGCCCTTGCATGATTGAGATGCTAAAGGAGCACTCAAAGATGATAAAGTCATTTTAGAAAAGCTAAATGAATTCTTTGCTTCAGTCTTCACGGCTGAAGATATTGGGGAGATTCCCAAATTTGAGCCATTCTTTTTAGGAGACAAATCTGAGGAATTGTCCCAGGTTGAGGTGTCATTAGAAGAGGTTTTGGAAGAAATTGATAAACTGAACAGTAACAAGTCACTGGGATCAGATGGCATTCACCCAAGAGTTCTGAAAGTACTCAAATGGGAAATTACGGAACTAACAACTATGGATTGTAGCCTATCCTTTAAATCAACTTCCCTACCTAATGACCGGAAGATAGCAAATGTGAAACCAAGATTTTAAAAGGGCTGTAGAGCTGATCCTGGCAATTATAGACCAGTAAATCTGTGACGGGGGTCACCTCCCTCTGCTCGGTGGGACGTGCCCCCCTGCACTCTGAGTGCAGGGCGGGGGATGCGTTCAGCTGGCGGTCTCGAGCCACTGTGGGCTTGTCGTGCATGCGCGCTAGCGTCCCCACGGCCGGGGTCCTTAGGACCCGGCGGACGCTTGCGCTGCGGAGAAAAAGGCATCTAACCGCACTGGGGAGGGGACCTTGGTGCCTCCAGGGGGCGGTCGGTATGGGCTGACATTATCCCCAGTTGCCAGCCCACAGGACAGGCAGCTGGCACACGCTGAGGCCATCCCCAAGCACCAGCATGAAAGGATGGCGGCAGATTTAAAAGGGAGGAGAAGCGCGCCCAAACAGGGGGAAGGATCCTGGCTGGGCTAGTAGGCCATGCTTTCCCCCCCTTCCCCAGGTGCCGAGACCACGGGGAGACACCCAAGAGATGCCCAGAGGCCAAGGGGCCAGCGCAGTGTCCTCGGGCAGCAATGAGTGGCAGTTCTCGAGCGAGGGACCCGGGACTGAGTTAGAACTCTGACGGAGCCGGAAAACTCAAATTAGGCAAGCTAGAGAAAGACTAAAAGGCAAGGCAGGGTGTAGTCAGAACCAGACTAGGGGTCCCGGTAGAACCTGCCTTGCTATAGTCAGTACCAGGCAAATTAGTTGAAACTATAGTAAAGAATAAAATTGTGAGACACATGGATGAACATAATTTGTTGGGAGAAAGTCAACATGGTCTCTGTAAAGCGAAATCATGCCTTACTAATCTGCTAGAGTTCTTTGAGGGGGTCAACAAACATATGGACAAAGGGGATCCAGTGGATATAGTATACTTAGACTTCCAGAAAGCCTTTGACACAGTCCCTCACCAAAGGCTCTTACGTAAAGTAAGTTATCATGGGTAAGAGGAAAGGTCCTTTCATGGACTGATAATTGGTTAAAAGACAGGAAACAAAGGATAGGAATAAATGGCAAGTTTTCCAAGTGGAGAGAGATAACTAGTGGGGTCCCCCAAGGATCTGTACTGGGACCCATCCTATTCAACTTATTCATAAATGATCTAGAGAAAGGGGTAAACACCGAGGTGGCAAAATTTGCAGATGATAACAAACTGCTCAAGATAGTTAAGAACAAAACAGACTGTAAAGAACTTCAAAAAGATATCACCAAATTAAGTGGCTGAGCAATGAAATGGAAAATGAAATTTAATGTTGATAAATGTAAAGTAATGCACATTGGAAAAAATAATCCCAGCTAAACATTCAATATGATGGGGACTAATTTAGCGACAACTACTCAAGAGAGAGATCTTGGAGTCATTGTGGATAGTTCTCTGAAAACTTCCACTCAGTGTGCAGTGGCAATCAAAAAAGCAAACAGAATGTTAGGAATCATTAAAAAAGGAATAGATAATAAGACAGAAAATATCTTATTGCTTTTATATAAAACCATGGTATGCCCACATCTTGAATACTGTGTACAGATATAATCTCCTCATCTCAAAAAAAAGATATATTGGCATTGGAAAAGGTTCAGAAAAGGGCAACAAAAATGATTAGGGGTTTGGAACGGGTCCCATATGAAGAGAGATTAAAAAGACTTGGACTTTTCAGTTTAGAAAAGAGGAGACTAAGGGAGAATATGATAGAGGTACAGGCAGTCCCCGGGTTATGTACAAGATAGGGACTATAGGTTTGTTCTTAAGTTGAATCTGTATGTAAGTCGGAACTGGCGTCCAGATTCAGCCGCTGCTGAAACTGATCAGTTTCAACAGTGG